AACATCCCGCCAGCGTCAGGGTCTGACCGCCGGCGCTAGATCACCGCAACCGGATCTGTTCAGTTCTCATTAACGCGTTTCCACCACGATGCGATTGAATTCATCGCTCAGAAGCTGGGTTTATTTTCCGATGTAATAAAAGCAGGATCCTTGTTCTTCCACCCATTCCCACCTGCTCAAATTTTGCCTGCGTTCTGCAAGGCCTACTACTTCTTGCCTGCTTCCACCACTTTGCGCTTAAGTGCTGCGCCTGGACATACTGAAGCCAACTCACTCTCGTTGCTAGCGTCTACCACTGGTCTCTGTAACGCCCCTAATTTCTTTGTGCCTGCCTACAGCTGCTGGTGGCAAATCATGGTTGCTAAAAACCCTCTCTTTCGTGGTCGCTGGACTGCGAAACGATTCAATGCGACTGTTATTAACGATATCTGGCCTGAAGTTCTATTCTTCACATTGGTTGCCACGAGTACGTATGCGTATTTTTGATGTGTCACGAGCCGAGCAGAAGTTAACTGTTATTCTCTTCTAGTGGTATACCTTGTGTCAGAGAAAACCAGCCACAAGCTCGCCATTTCTAACCAGCTATTGACTGTACTCGGTACAGTCCTCGGTTTGGTCATCTCGTTCAGAACGTCATCAGCGTATGAGAGATATCAAGATGGTAGAAAAATGTGGACCAATATTACCACTGCCTCGCGAAACCTTGCGCAAATGGTGAGTCCCGCTCTTCTTCCGACCGCCTCATATGTTGATGTCATTACTATAGATATGGATTCACATCCCCAACGAGAGGGAGGATAAGGGCGTGCAGAAGAAACAAACTGAGCTTCAGAGTATCATTGAGAAGAAGACTATGATCAACCTGGTGAGTCCCAAGGCCCTAGCACTCCTCCGCTCTCCTCATGCCGTTCTTTCACAGGTTCAAGCGTTCGCAGTCTCCGTCAAGGTATGCAATTTACGTGCACAATAGCTTACCGGACAACAAACTCATTGGTATGACGTACTCAGCACTTCTTGCGCGGAGAAGAGGGCGTTTACTACGAGGACCTCTACCCGCTCATTGCCTTCCTCCCTCGCTACGCTAACAACCCTCCCGCCGTGCAAACCGCCGCCGACCGTCTTCCCCTGTGGCACATCCATGACGAGCACGACGTAGGCTTCGACGGACAAGTACAGAACCCGCGCTCAGCACCCGCTAAGGACCATCCAATCCAACGCACCTCCTCCGAGCCCACGCATAGCAAGGAGAAGACCCTCGTGGACGAAAGTAAGTCTGAGCAGAACTGGAAAGGTTCCAACCGTGGCCGGCGTTCGCGCCGCGATTCATTCGATCCGGAGATGGCACTTCCTCAGGTTGATAGTGAGCACCCGTTGAAGCCAGCGCGTAACCCGCCCGAGCCGTCGATCTATGATTATATCCCTCTACTGAGGTTCTTCAAGTGGTGCATCCGTGTTATGCTCCGCCGTGCGGGTCCCAAGGAGTTGAAGCATAGGAAACGTAAGGCATATAGCGAGATTGTGGAGAGTAATGTTCCTCTGGAGATCATGCTCGTTCTTTCTAAGTAAGTTTTCCTTAGTCGTGGCATCGGTACATTTACTAATCCCCCGCTTCTTAGCTACACTGCTTGTATGTACCTTTCAGTTCAAGCCATACGCTTGTATACTAATACTCTTTGTAGGGCTTATGCGAGCTGGCTTGTTGCAACCAGCAATCGCTACCGGTGTCACCAATAACCTCACTATGCTTCAAGATACCCTGTCTAACCTCGAACGTATCTGCAACACTCCGCTGCCCTTCGCGTATCAGGCCCATCTTCGCATGTCCTTGTGGTAAGTATATTCTTTTTCCTTTATCTGTTCGACCCCTTATTAAGTAAACTCTTTTAATTCAGGTTGTACTTGTTTTTCCTTCCCGTACGTCCATTCCCACCTAGCTTTCGGCTCTAATACTTAAATTTTCGTGCAGTTCCAGATCGAATCTGCGTTCAAGTACCTCACTATCCCCGGAACCGCCTTCGCCTCGTTCTTACTTCTTGGATTCCTTGAAATTGGACAGGAGATGTACACTTATTATTCTTTCAAAAGATTTCATGATAGAGATTGATCCCTTTCACAGTGAGAATCCTTTTAATTACGATTTGAACGATCTTGGTAAGTCCTCTGTTTTTATCATGATACATTATATTAACCAAGTCGTTATAGATCTCGACCACTTCTGCCTCGCTATCCAACGTGAACTTCATGAGATCACCGCTGTACGTCCATATCCGCGATATATATTTTATTCTTATTTTTATTTACTAAATTCGTTTATAGCACACCAGCCCGAACCCCGCTGAATTTATATTCTCTGCTTGGTAAGATACCTTCTTAACATTAGTCATTTATATCCTTGCTCATTCTGATAACAGGAACCAGCCACTCGCACCAGCCGACCGCCGCACCGCCGAACAGCTTGCCGCTGTTAGAGGCCCCTACCGCGGCCCCGATGACCTTGGTGAGCCTGGCATGGACAGCGTCAGGAGGACTCTGGTCAAAGGGTGGAAGGACGTCGATGTTATGACTCGCAAGCTGTGACTGCAGCCCGCCACGACCCTGCATGGCTACGATTTGACTTAAGGTTCTCATTTTTCAGTCTCTACCCACTTTTTGCATTTGCATATAGTTTTGGCACGTCAGTAGTTGATCATGGACACCGCTAGGTATTTAGAAAAAAAAAAGTAGGGCTCACGTGTGTCGCTTTATCTATTAGTCACTCATTAATTATATTGCAAAAGGCTGCTGTGCAGCTTTTATCTAAACGATAATCCGCGTTCACCCTTTCAAAGCTGCATCAAACTTATAAAACAAGCGCATATAAATTACTTATGGGCTAAGCGACCTATATTTTTTCCGAGGAATGCCGCTGGGCGCTAGCGTGCGACCGCTCGACTGCAGCTTTAAGATATTGGGAAGTTTACTGTTGGCAAGCTCTTGAACAAATCGCAATAATCCTTATAGCAAGTTTATAATATCCCGATCAAGAACCCGATCTTGATGGCTTTCAAGATAATGAAGTAATTTAGTACTGGTATGTATTTACCTAAAGTTTTAATATCAATACGCGGAGTAGATGCCACTGAAGAGGTCAGAATTCGCGATAGACGAGAGCGCATGAGCGCAATGTTTTATTATTATTCTCATCCAAAGTGACTTCATCGATAATGCTGCCCAATACCTCTTGGGAGACGAGCAGGTATGGAAATGGAGCATTTGCTAGCTGGTTAGGCAATCCGACATCACGACAGTTGATGATATTCTCGAGAACTAGATTCGAATGTTGTGAAAAAGGAAGAAGGATGGGTGGCAAAAACTTCTCGGGATAATAAGCTAGTCAACTCCTTTGGAGACTCATGGAGGTAAAGCGAGGGCGAATGAAGCATAAAAGGTACAGTGCTCGCTTGGACCAAAGACAAAGCACCGCGAACTACTATAAGTGGTAATTGACAATGGGCGGCTAACGATATATGCAAAGAGAGAGCAAAGCGGTGGCGACAAAGGTATGTCAAAGCAACATGAAAGAAAAAGATATTTGAACAAAAAAAGCATGGAGAAAAGATATTCATCATAGCAAGTCAATTGCCAACGACCTCTACTCGACCAGCAAGACCCAGCAAGAACTACCACCAAGCAGCAACTATGCCAGTACTAACCCGCAGTGCCGCTAAACGCGTTGATACTCGAGCCCAATGCGACGACGATGTCATAATGGTCGTCTCACCCTCTGCGACCGGGCAAGGAAAACATATTCGCTGGTTCGATCGCGACGAGGACTTCGCCCCCCTACCAAGCGCTTTCCCTATGACCAAGGCTCCCATCACCGCTGCAAACGTTCCACTGGGAAGTTCGGGCTCTAGCAGCAACTCGCTATTCGGCGGCTCACTGTCATCTGATTCATCGTTATTCTCATCTATGTCATCTCTATCATCGACGTCTTCGAACGGGTCCAGCCACTCTGCTGAAGCTCCCCAAGGCATCTTCAGCCCCAGCCAGCTAGCTCCGAAGCGAAACATCGTGCGTCCTATCCAGCGCAGCCCAAGTGGTATTATCATCGGGGAGCAGGGCACGCGTTTAGTCTTGAGACATCCTGCAGCCGATGCCATCTCAATGAAGGACGTACAGATCATGAACAACGAGCGGGAGAGAGAGGTGTTTGAGAAGCAGCTAGAACGAATCCAGCACGAGCGTAACCACGGTATCTTCGGAAACAGCAATACCTTTAAGGTCGTCAAGTTACGTGCGGAGGATACGGGAAGTGACGAGGGTATGGACATCGACGACGAAGAATCAGAGAAGAGATTTTGTGCAGGACAGGCTAAAGCCACCGACCAGACGACGCAGGCCGTGGGCCCCTATGGCGTCTGGGTCCAAGCACAGGAGAAGCGTGCCCAGAGTGAGTTCTTCGAGCAATGGGAGAGTCGCGGTCTCCGTGCGCATCCTACAGAGTCAGTACTTTAATAAAGGAAGGGCCGTTTACTTGACTTTTATTTTTCTATGCCCATTATGCCCCATTCCCTATGCCAACGCCTATGCCCATCTATTCCACTATTTCCTTGATCCTGACTCATTCTTCTTTTATCCCTTCGTTATAGAGCTTCGTTCCTTTTGACTAATCTTATTGTAACATTCTCTCACCATTCCGACATGATTGATATTGGTCGACATAGGTACAACACTGTAGAACATACCTGTAGTAATAGTATATTTCTAGTGTAATTTGAACTATTTCTTGCTCCCGCCCAACCACTACATCGAATAAGTTCGTTCTTCAGAGAGCCATTGAATAAAGTACAAGTGTAAGAAGACATAAGCCGCAGTGGCTCGGTCAACGAAGTGTTTGTTGTTGCTGCGATCAGACGCATTTGAGATATATACGCTTACACCCTTCCGCCGTAGTATTGGCGATACGGATGGACATTATAGTACAAAATATGATTAATTGAGTACTCCTATTTTCAAGTTCTCTGTTAGTATATCGGTTAGTACACGCGCCTGTCATGAAATATGGTGCGCGCGAAAGCTGGGTTCGACTCCCAGACAGAGAGTTCTTTTTCATCGTTTTTCCTCTGAGTGGAACCAGCTTTATTAAAATGTCAATTCACCATGAAAGGGGGGTTGTCTTACAAATGGTGAACGGCAGGCGCTATTACAGCCTTCATTCCTTTGTGTATTTATTTTAACCTTAACCACTTATGATCGGGGAACGAAAGTGTGGGGTGGGAGTCGAATAAACCGCGATATACATCAGTGATACATTGTAGGTGTGAAGTTTTTGTATGTATGCGGTGCGTTCGATACTCGATCTTCCGAAGCATTCTTTGCCTAATAGTACCGATTGAATAGGGCTTTTTAAGTTGACGGGAACGAGAATCCAAGAAGTTCTACCAATGATTCGTTCACTCTTGAGACTATTTTGGATGAACAAAAGGATGTCCGAAAATACTACAGCTCAGCTTGACACCTGATAAGAAATAGGATTTATAGTTCATTGTGTTGGTTCAGGGAAAATAAAGTTGGATATCTCACCGAGGGCTCCGAGGTTCATAACCAGGGTGTACTTACATGACCAACTTCGTTCAACATTGAAATTGAGGTTCTAGCAGAAGGGATAATACAGATGTCCTTATGGTTCGGGATTATGATACAACTAACAACTGGTGCTTCAGGTGAAGAGTAGAGCGGTAGGAATCTTCTTACATGTGAGGAATTATTACGTTACGAAATTAAAGCGTAGAGAACAGGCCTGGCAGCATGTGTATCAGAGTAGAGTTTACGCATTGTGGTTCTGCGAACCAACAACCTGGAATTCAAAGGTAATGTTCTTGGATATGGTTGTCAATAACCTGCTACTCACTTACTCTGGCGTGGAATGCCATCATATTATTTGAGTGCCGTGAGTGTTAGTGATTGAAACACGAAGAATTGCACCTCTTGCTGCGCGATACCATTGAAATTTAAGCCCGAGAGAATTGGAAGCGTTATGATGGGTATATTGGAGTAAAATACGAAGCCGTCCGCAAGAAAAGGAGGCAAATACTGATGAGAGGTGATACAAATATTGATTAAGCAGTCCAGGGCATTTCACACAGTAGCGCAATAATAAGTTCCGATGGGTGTGTGACTTCCCATCTAAAGCTTACTAACAATTTGTGAATGCCTTCTTAACCAGAATACGCCGGGAAAGGCCACGTGGTAAGCAGTTGGCTCATCCCGTTCTCGGTGAATGAAATATGTAGTCGACCAGCCCACATATCCGGAGGCTGAGGCATTTTACAAGCTCGGAGAGGTGGCTCATCCTCAGTGAGGGTGTGATATTTAATGGATCCTTCCGAGCGTTCAATCGTACACCATACACCCAAGAAATGCGCCATCTACTCATCGATCATCGCCTCCCAGACAAGAGGATGACATTCTTTAGAAGGCAAAAAGGCTCAGAGTTTGATGGTAATCTTGAAGCGATATAATGTAGAGCCGACGAACGTGAATTGCTACAAAGAGGGGTTGTTAAAAGCAGAGCAGGCAGAGTCATGGTCAGCTTGCAATCGCGGACCGGGTTACTGTTCAAAGTATGAAAAAAGACCCCAGGGTTTTGAGAGAGTGAGGCAGCAGTGTCCAGAAGTTGAACGCTATTTGTCAAGTTTGGGAAAGACGTTAAATTCATTAGTTTCAAAGGGCTTACTTCTGCATGAGGCACTTGTCGCCACCTGCTAGCACGACGAGCCGATGTCATAGATGATAAGGTAGGGTACACGGGAGCGCCAAAACGTACTCAAGTGCATCATCGATGGAGGAAAGAGTCCAAGAGGACTTTCAAGTTCTTGCTATAGTACATATGAAGGAAAACCAAGAAATTAGATGTTTGAAGGAGCTGCGCTAAGTCGAGGTGTTGGTTTGAGAGATAGATGTTCGTGGACGCCAGGTGAATTGGCTCACTGGCCCTATTCGTGGGTTGGTTCGTTTGACTAGCACGTTGATTTGATAGAGCCGAGTCCGGGTTACTCGGTCCGATTTACCTTTTACTCTAACTTCAATTTCCGGGCTGAAAGGCTTTATGCTCTGTCAGGATCTACCCTGTCTCTTCCAATGACACTTCCACAATTTGGAAACGATTTTAATGTTGTTACATTGCTCCGAATTTAAAAATTGCGATGACTGTGCTGGAAGAATGTCCGGACCGAGTACGCGCACTCTGAGAGTTATTTCAAAGGTAGTATCGAAATTTATGAAGCAATACAGACACGTCCTAGAGCAGATTAATATTCATTTTCAAGGGAGTCTTCATACAGGCGCGTCACAGTGACTGATTAAATAAAGAATTACATGGTTAGTGTCTAAGCATTTCCGATCAATCATCGCGACAAATTTATGCAAGTTGAGAAGCTTTAAAATTGCTTTATCACATCAATATTAACTAAACCAAAGATTTTTGACCAAAATACTCGTCAATTCCTAAACACTTATAAGGCCTAGGTTACTAATGCGAAGACCTGTTCAACAACCCTGAATGTAAGAGTGCTATTGGTATTTACTACGTAGTAAACTGTTCTGACTGTAACAAAATAAAGTTTTTTGGTTGGAACATCACTAAAGTCGTTTTAGACAGAACTCACCACCGTAGAATTGCTAACGCATTGTATCGCTTGTGTATACACTAGCCTCTCATTTTGATGCTCGATTACTACGACCAAATGAATTAACACAACAGATAGGACAGATAGGAAAGAATACCGTTCTATTCATCAAGTAACACTAGTCAGCAGAAATAGACAAGCTGAAACTTCTGGAGGGGTGAAAGGAGCCATTGGAATAATAAGCGTCGCATCATTATATTACAAATAGGAGCACAGGAGTACCTCCATTTTTGTTTTGAGTGAAATATTCTCGAGGGGCGTGTCATCTAGCGGCGTCAGTGTCGATGTGGACAGCTTGGTGTAATTATGACGCACTGTGAACTCTCCTGAGATCTTAGTCTTTGAAGTCCGCATTATAAGCTTGAAAAAGCAACTCAATTTGAACCCCTTTCTAGGAGCTCCTTCGAAGGTGATATGATAATAAATGAGACGCAATTTCTTTATCAACGGCCGACTAGGTTACAATATAACTGAGTCAGTGGCGATCCAAACTTTTCCCATGCTAGGTCTGGAAATTGATTTGTAACCGCTTTGAATGGCTGTGGCCTTAATGACTACATATTCATCCAAGGCGATCATGATGCGGATGTAAGTAAGCATTAGTATGGGGATGACGGGGATAGCGATACTTCGTCCCCTGACCGTAGAAACTTCGTCCGCTGAATGAGCGCCATGTTACACAGCGCGAAGCATATGAAGAAGTAGTATCAATAACGAAGATACCGGCAGGGAGAAAATATGGCTGAACTAGCAGGGGAAATCATTAAGAAGAGGTTTGATTATTGTCATATTTAGTCATTTATCCATCATCGGACAGGCGTAGTTGAGCGAATACTATAACGGCAATGCACTGTATAGCGTATCGGGTGCGTCTTGAAGAGCAAGCTCACCCAACAACTTGAATGAGCTTAAGCATGTGGCCAAAGGTGGTGTGATCATCTGGTGGCGTTCTGGCATTTTTAAAAGATTTTCACGTTCAAGCAGGTGCCACGATTTGCATGTGCGTTAAAATGATTCAAAATGGGACTACCTCGTGCATGTGGATTTTAAAAAGCGGGTAGCTTCCGCTATTCTTCATTTGTAAGGCTCAAGTCGTAAAACGAAGGAATAAGCCCGATTCCAATGACTAATGCGATTGTCCCGAGACTTTGCTTTTGGATACCAGCACCCGAACAGTTTTGTTCAGAACATCCTAATTTATGCACCATATCGACTATAGACAGGTGCCCGAGTCTACGTTGATGATGTTAACTTGCATTGATGATAGGCAGCAGTTACTCAGGGGCAATACCCGCCGAATATGCGCACCGATATATAAGTCGCTCTATAAAGACCAAAGGGAGAAGTTGTTGATTAGACGAATGTCGCCGGTGAGAATGGTAGTACTGAGATTATCGAGTGGCGGCAACAAGTCTATGCTTCACATTTCAAGTTAATCCAACAGTCGCTATGCAAAGGATGACTGGAACCTTCCAACGCGACAGCTGGAGACAGAACTATAAATTGTATTGATAATGCCCCATCCATGCAAGATGACAATACTTTCTCCGAGGCAGTCAACAGATGGCCGTATTATCGACGCACTGAAGGCGCTCGAAAGAGAAAATAGAGATACAAAACCACGAGAAAAGACCAGGCTCGACCGTCCCGTAAGAAATGGAAGTAGGAGCGATGAAAGGAGGGACGTTGTTGTTGATGGTGGTGATGGTGGTGGTGTTTCTCCACATGCAATATTGAATCCTCCATAGCAGGGTGATAATAAGCGCATTAACAGCATAGGTCCTCTGATTGGATATCGAATATTCTACTTGCTACTGTTAGTAATAAATATAAAAAAGCGCCGAGTTCACGGAGGTTCGAGACCGGCTGAACCAAGCGCTAAATTACAAGGAGATCGTATTTGTCATGGTCGAGGAAGATGGGACGGATGCTGGGATGGTCAGAAGCAGAAGCGATTCGGAGAGTTGAAACTTACATGGATGAAGCTCAGGGGAGGAGCCTTGGCATCGCTAAAGCTTATATTCACCTGCGCACTTTACTATATTCATACGGGAGATTAACGTTATTTTCGCAAGATTTAAAGCGAAAGGTGACTCAGATGGGGTACTTACTAACTCCGAGTTCAGCTTGGATTTGAATTCGACCTGTGCTTTTTCCGCAGTCCCGTTAGGATTGTGGAGGTAGGAGGTAGGGAGGAAGGACGAAGGTGGTAATCACCATATGGTGATGAATTAGTCCCCAGTGGAGAATATGTTGGCGCGATCGAATCGCATTGAGAGGTTTCTGGGAGGATATTACGAAGTAGCTTGAGAATCGGATAGCTGCATTAGTTATACCAACCAAAGCTTGAATAGTTACACCGAGGAGAGCTATGTAAAAGTACAACCGGTTAATCCATGAAACTTGCAACGAAA